TGCAGTTTAATGGCCTCAAGGCATTCTTAGCTATTTTATGGCTTAGACATTTCTGCACAAATTCCTACACATTCAAATATTTATTCAAAACAGAAAATTATTTTCCTATGCCATGCAAAGTTGTAGTTATTCAAAGAATTTATAGATTAGTGTGTATGCAAATGGAGAGATGCGAATGTTGATAGGTTTTTAGCTACGCACATAAAATGTTGCACAAAACTATTTTACGGTAATAAAAATGTCTTCGAATCCAACTGACACTTCAACCCCACAGGAGCAAATGGTGACTTGATTTTAATAACATTTATTTAAAATGTTATTGCTAAATAAAGGCATCTCTATAAAATTGCATATGTTTTTTATATTGATTTCTATTTATTTCATTTTTATTCTGAACCAGGTAGTTAGTCTTTTATTCTCAATTAAAAACACACCAAAGAAAATATTAATAAAAATATTCATTAAATTGAATTATAGATGTGGTAGAAAGTGACTCCTGTCGACTCTGTTATGAGGAGAAGGAAACATCAGAACCTGTTTTATGCAACTGCCCAGCGGTGGCAAGATGTAGACTCGATTACCTTGGAAGCGGGATATTAGTCCCAAGTCAAATAGGTAAAATTAAGCCCACAGCAATTACAAGATTTATAAATAGGCTAAAATTAACCTTTAGGCGCACAATAGATCTTTTAGGTCGCGGTGCTTTAATAGCCTATTACTTAAATAATAATATTAAATTGAATTTTAACGTCGGTTTTGACGAAAGAAACTAAATTCTTAATATAAACTATTGTTTTCAATCAAAGAATTAACCCAAAAAAAGTGATCATTGCACCATTTTCCAGAAGGTAATAACTGAATATTAGGTCCCTATTTATAAAAGATACGACTGTCGAATGCTCCGATGAAGTCAAATGAAGGGGATGAAGGTCAAATATTTTATGCTTAATACTTTGCTGAGCGCCTGGTCACATAGGAATCAATGATAATAAGTCTGCTGACAGTCTTACGAGGCCATTCAAATCTGTGGACAAGAGCCAAATTGTGAATTAAGTTGGTCTACAACTAAGTCTCTGATTCATAAATGGTTTTCAGCCGCCAAAAGTCACTACTGGCGTGACATTCCAGAGCTAGTTCATCCCTACAGTTACGCTAAGATATCTTTCTTCTGCAGAACAGAGTTGAGGTTGCTGGTGGGATATTAACCGGTTCACCATGGACTACGTTATGACCTTAACAAAATGGGTCTGTCCGAAGAGATAAATTATCGACTCTGCTTAGAAGCAGACAAGACTTCTAGTCACATTCTCTGTAACTGCCCAACCTTAATCTGGGCCAGAAAGACGTCACTGAGTAGCGAACTACTCTCCCCTTCTGACATTAGGAGATCCTCAACGGCCGACATTGTGGATTTCATTCGGAAGGCTGAATATCTTCTGTTCGGTGAGGGACTGTTGCAGCACAAAAGATCAAACATGGTCGCAGTGCATTGCTCCGTTTGGAACTGGTATCCCATTTATACCCATTCCTATTGTTTTCAATAGAAAGATATTTTGAATAGTATTAAGTTATAACAATAAAATTTTATTATTTCATTGATTAATTGAATTTTTGGCTGACCGTACAGCTGTTACGAGTATTACACAAATACCTATTCAACAGTGGTCTTGAATTTATTTTTTGTATTTAATTATTCGTAAATAATTATTTGAGACTGCAAGTATTAAAAGATGAACTCTCAACCTGCCAAATTTGAAGCTCAGAGTCAGTGTACATTAACCAACTGACCCAAAACCGTATATGACTTATATGTTGGAACTTGAAACTTTTATTAATTTGCTGTGAAAGTTCATTAAAAAATTCACTTGCTGAATTATAATAGAACGAAATCATAAGCCAGCTGTAATTTAATTAAATTAATTAATTACAATTTTATTTTTAATCAAGTTTAAAAGATTTATAAAAAAATATTTGTGTTATGCAATTAAGGATATATTACTTATTAATAAATCACAATGTAAATGAGCCAGTGAACTTTGCTCTAAAAAACAATTTGCCTCCATGTGGATCTTTGCGCTGTAAACCATCTAAATATCTGAAGTGCTTCAATTTAATGAATCGAGAATACTTAAAACTGAAGATGAGAATGAAAATAAATTTGAAAAACAAAAACAATATCAACAACATACACGGGATTATATCTTGGTATTTAAATTCCGCAGCGCCAAAACGAAATTTATATCAAATTGTACATTGTTTGTGTAATTTTTTGGTGCTTGTCGATAAACATTAATTTCTGCATATTGTATTCTGTTAAAATGTGATCAACCTACTAATACCTATAAGTGCTTCAAATTTATATCATTAAATAAAATTTAAATAATTAATATTTATAAGTACTGACAGACAAAATCTTTTTTAATTTCTTGTTTTACAATAGTCAGTCTAAAAGTCACATCTCCCTTTTACCTTTTTACGGAGAAGAAAATTATTTTATAACTCTTTTAACAACATTGAAAAAAGCTGAAGTTAACAACTGTAATTCTGTTAAAGCGTAATTAGTTTAAATAATTCATTAAATTTCATTTAAAATGCAAATTAGTCTCCGAAGTGCACTTAGAGGACATATGAACAAAATGCCGCACAATAACAGAACGTATAAATATTTGTGGAGTCAAGTGCATACAAGTGCAACATTTTCAAATTTTCCAGCTCACCATGGAGCAAATGAATGAATTGCTAATGCATTAAGTTCGGCTCAAAAAAAGGGTTTCCTCTGTGTACCAACTGACTTTACTGATGATGAAACGAAAGCGTCACTAAAGTTGAAAAGTTGATGGCACTTCAAGTTCAATTGAGCGAATAATTCAAGTATGTTAATGAAATTTATTTATAAAAAAAACAACAAGGGTTAGGGAAAGATTTTTTTACTGCTCGTATTTAAAATACTCGTATTTAAAATAATGTTAAAATTTTATTTGTGCACGTAATGAATTATTTTTATATTTTTATGCTCATTGAAATTTTATATGCAATCTGTTTCATTGCAGCCTCTGATGGCCTCCAAGTTGCGCATACACGATACCTGTGGCGTACACAATTTGCATGGTATGCCTGCACTCATTTCGGCCATTGCATCCGCCATTGTTGCTGCCTTGGTGACCAAGGAAAAATACAAGTCCGAAATGACTACAATCTTTCCGGCTATGGTAACTACAGAGGAAATTGAAGTTCAACAAACCCAAAACAGTTCAACTATCATATTGGGCGTAAGTTGTACAAAAACAAAAAGTATAAATATTTTCTCATTTTAATTTGTTTTAAATAAAATTTGTTTTGCATGCAACCATACTCATACTCAGGGCTACAATCGCACAGCTTCTGCACAGGCAGGTTACCAACTTTTCGGTATTGCCATGACGGTAATTGTGGCTATTGTTGGCGGCATTTTAACAGGTGAACACAATAAAATTTAAATATAATGTCTCAGAGCATCATGGCAAATTTCTAATATAAAATAATATTATATTTTCTTTTGCTTTTGCTTTTGCTATGGAACAATTCTTGCTCCTTGCTTCTGGAAGGTATTGTGCTTAAGTACACAAACGTTCGTAAACTAAATAAGGAAGAGCATCATCAGGACGAAGTCTTTTGGGAAGTGCCTGACCATAAGGAAGAATAGTAATGTGAAGATAAACTACAAAAGTTGCAAATCTAACGACAATAATTTTGCACTGAAAATTGCCGCAAATTGGCATTATCTGCATTTTGCACAGAAACTTCAAAACTATGCTTTATTTTACTTTGCTAAATAGTATATTTTTATATAATTTCATAAAATAACTTTTGTTTTTACATCACTTAGATCATAGATGAGTATGCGATGAGTATGCGATGAGTATTAGACATTTTTCTATCAAACAATTGTAATCGAATATCTAGCATTAATATTTTTTCTTTGCTTTTATTTTTTTAATAAACATAATTTTTAAATTCTAATCAAAACATCAATTTATTTGCATGTCTGTGTTGCCTTTATCCTTATAAAATTAAAACTTAAATAAGTTCCAATTACTTGTCGTCTTCGGCGGTTGAACTCAACAGTTTGCAACAACATTGGCGCCCATTGCAACTCCGCCACTGGAATGCAATTGTACCAGCAAGTAGTTTATACATGGGTCGTGTTTACAAATGAAATCAAAGTTAAATATTTTGATATAATTTTAGTTACTGTTAGTTATGTTAAACTAAAGTAAATACCAATTAATTAAAGGAAAAATATATGTTATTCTACTTAAATATTTATTTAACATATAGTAGTTTATAAAACTGTGCAAGTAAGTTAAGGTAACATAAATAACAATGCCAATATAAAATATTTTTCAATACTGATTTTACACTTGAATGTTAATTTATTTCAGATTTTATAAATAAACATCTTAGTATATGTTAAAAAGGTGTGCAAATATAACTTAGATGTTATAAGATATAAACTAAAATAAATACTTTTTAGATATTTAATCAAAGTTTTTTTCTAAATTCATATTGCTTTATGAAATCTATAAAAAAATAAAACAGAAGATAAGCTTAAGCTTTACTTGAATTGTTACAGATCTTGTATTAGAAATGGATTATTTAGCATTAGAAATAACAATATGATATAATAGATTTCCAAGCCCATAAAAATCATTTGATAAAAAAAAATATTACATGTTTTGTGCAACTAGAGGTGGTGTAAAATTAATAGTTCTGACCACCACATAGATAGACAATGCTTCGCACATATAGTTGTGTTAAAAATCGAGTATTTTATAATAAATACTGATAATCATATGTCTAAACAAGTACAAAATTTAGGAGCAAAAATTCTTTGGGCTTAAACCTATTAAAAGCAAACTATCGAAAATACCAGCTATCAACAACAACCGGTAGAGCAAATTACCAGGAGAAACTGGTAGTTCCTACTCTTGGTAATAATTAATACTCTCAACTATAAAAAGTAACTGATAGTCCTGACTATTGGTAGCTAACGACGTAAAAAACAAAACAACAAAAAAGACTATTGGTAACAGTTTATAATCCTATCAGTAACAATGGATAACACTGAATACAATCAGTTAAATAATTAATTTTTTAAAATTTTTAAAAAACAAAATTTAAGAGTATCAATATTTCTAACGTTATAACCTTCCTTCATTTAGCTTCTTCCACTATCTACCTTTAGATATCAGTTAAACAATTAATTTTTAAAATTGATATTTTAGAATTTTTAAAAAACAAAATTTAAGAGTATCAATATTTCCAACGTTATAACCTTTCTACATTTAGCTTCTTCCACTATCTACCTGTAGATAATATTATCAGTAAACAGTCGATGGCAGTTAGTTACACTCATAGTTTCTAGACTAATCCACTGTTTCTAAAATCATTCATCCCTTCACTTTCTAATTTGTAAAAAAAAATACTTTCTAATTTACGGAATTGTACCTTTTTAATTCTAGGCTAAAAACTCTTTTTATATTTCTTCTCAATATGTTGGCTTGTACACAACCTTGGTTCTAGAGTTTGTATCACCTATTCTATTGCACAGATTAACTTATTAGGTAATTGCCAGGAATTCAATCCAACTCAGGCTGCAGATACTGCAGGGAAGAGAGAGAAACGGCATACCATGTGCTTGGGGAGTGCCCGGCACTGATGCATAAGCGAAAGAAACACCTAGGAGGGTATTTCATGGATCATAAGGATTCAAGACTGGGAAAGATAAGATCCATACTGTCTTTCATTAAAGAAATCGGACTTGGAGAAATACTCTAACCCGACAAAGGGGCACAATAGATCTTTTAGGTCGCAGTGCACGAAAAAGAAAAAATTGAAGAATAAATATGTTCGTTTTTACTATGTCACAAGTCGATCACAACAATTTTTCCTTTTCTTCTTTGAATTGTGCTTTAAATTCCCTCATCATGCAGCGTATTATATGGGTCTGTCTCCCAACGATATAAAAATATTGTTACAAGAGATCTGGCTCCTATGAAAATTATGATTGCAGGAATCGAGTAAAAATAAGGTATACAAAACAGCTTCGAAATTTTAAAGAAGTGTTGAAATAAATATATATCACACTTTTATCTAAAGATTAAGAAATTAATGGAGTGATATGTTTTTCAGTTTTAGATGTACAAGATATATTTGCTTCATTAAGCCCCAAATAACTGATCTATTGAATATATGTTATTATAAATATACAAAATGTGTGTGTGTTTGGATTTTATTTTTTACCTCACCTTACAGTTTCAACTTAGGAAAATAAATAATTTACTAAATATATAATATAAATATTTACGCAGAAGTTTTCAATAGAAATATTTTATGAAATTGGTCATTTTAAATAGATCAAAAATAAAAATGAAAACAATTGTTTGCAACATATTTAGCACAGGGATGGCAAAACTATGCCCCAATTTATTTTTATGTAGAGTCTTCTTTCATGAAGTACCTTCTACTCCTATTTATATATCTTTTACACTCAACAGCATCGCCACTGAAATGTCTTATGTACAATTGTTAATAATGAAAGTAGACTCTTAAAAATATTAACTAAACTAAACTATTACTAAACTTTTTTTTGAAGAGTATTAAATACAATTTTTTTGTATTTGGACACCAAAAGAGCAAAAATTGTTCTCAACCTAAACAAGAAGGCAATAAACACCTACATAAAATAGGTATATCGGACACAAATATTTGCAAATTCTGCTATGATGAGGAACATTGATCACCAACTGTGATGTACTAGGCCACAGAACTAACAACATTTAAGGTACATACCAACTAGAGTATGAAGACCTTTAAAAACTCTCTCCGAAGAAGCTGATTCGATTCCTCGTGATACTAAATGTCTTAATAC